CACATAGACAGTACCCAATTGATCGACAACGACTCCTTGAGGATAATACATTTGTGTAAGACTATTTCCTTCTCCTTGACCACCGGCGACGATAATGCCTTGTTTTGCACCTTCTTTCCATTTCATTACACGATGATTTCCATTATCAGATACATAAACTGAATGATCTCGATCGACAAATACGTAGCGGGGATTAGAGAGTTGATCGAGATGATTTCCTTCTCCATCGCCACCTGCAACTACAATTCCTTGAGTGTCACCCATTTTATATCGTCTCACTTCGTGTTTTTTATTGTCAACGACATAGAGAGAACCATTGTCGTCCATGGTCAAACCACGACAAGAGATATTCGAAATAATTGTTTCTCCACGAGTACCATTTCGACGAGGCCATCGAACTACTCTTCTATTCCCGTAATCGCTGATAATGAGACTATCGCTCTCTTTGTCGATAATCACATCAGCTGGGTGATTTAACTGATGAGCTCCATTTCCACCAGCAACTACTTTTCCATTCGTTGCACCAGATTTCCATTTCACAATACGGTGATTTGCATAATCAGCGACATAAATCGTTTGATCATCATCGACGTACAAACCACATGGATAACAGAGTTGATTGGTTTCACTGCCTTTTCCATTTCCTCCAGCAACAGTGATTCCGTTCTGTGCCCATTTTGCATTTGGATGAATATCAATGGAACTTGCACGTAGTGGTACTGAAACGGAGACAAAAGTATGAAGTAAAAATAAACATCAATGTCATTGAAATGAGTTCTTCTCATTTGTTTTAAACAATATTGAACTGCTCTAAATTACAAAAGCTTTTTACGTATGAACTTGATTAGAATCTGGCTTTTCTCAATGTTGAAAACAAATATTGTTGACGTTTTCAAATATTTTGAAACTAACTAAAATTTAACTGGTAATGTGAAAAATTGCGATGAACTTGGATTTTGTCGTGAATGAAATTTTCTTTTTTGTCGAATTTTTCCAACATATTTACTGATTTCGTTAGTTCGAGTTTGAAATATATTTAATAATCATTTCATTTTTTATTGTTTGGATTTTACAATAAAATGAGTTATAATAGAATTTGAACGTAAGGAAAAACAATTTTGTTATCAGTTGATAGTAAACGGTGTATGATTTATGTTCGTCACTCATTTCTGAGTGAAATGAGACAAAATAAATTTGCAACTTTTATATGAATTCGTTAAAAACATCTTGCTAGATAATAACGATAGTTAATTATACTTAACTACCATGCATAAGACGTTTTTGACTGATTCATATAAAAAAATTACAAATTTTTTGTGTAAGTATTTTTCTTTCTTATTCCATTTACAAATGTGTGACAAATATAAATCATACATTATTCGAAAGTATTTTATGCCATGAATTTTGTATCATTCTTATTATTGAGTAATTTATTCATGAATCTCAAACAAACAAGTAGTTTGTAGAAAGGCTAATCCAAGTGCTAAATAAGATAAGTTTAGATAAAAAAATACGTAAGTTCAAATTTTAGTAGATAAGAAGAACTCAAAAACAAATCTTTCCCAAATTCAAGAATATTTGAAGAATCTGTCATGTTCATTATTCTGCATTGTAACACAAACAATGATCTATATACGAATCAATCAAGTCTTTTATTCTGAATTCATTTCTAATGTATTATAAATTTTCAACTTAATAGGGTATAGGACACAGTTTTTTAAACAATAGCAGTTTCGATCACGGATCGATTTCGAACTTTCTAAAATTAAGTATTTTCGCTTCTTTACAAGACAATACGAATCTCCTATTGAAACCTTGATCTAAAATCTTTGCAAGCTTATGTTGTGTAGGTCACTCAATAGGTGTAAATTTTTGGGGATTCTCACAAAAAAGCAACGATCGTAAAAGATTTCATCATGATTTTAGCTATTCTCAATAGCAATAAGTGTGAAGATTTCTTTTTCAAATTGTTATTGTATCGCATTCTCCACTGGTTAAATCCTAGAAGAAAGTTTTTTTTTGTTTGTTTAGAATTTTCTAAAGATTTATATTGATACTGATTTGAGCTTTAGACTAGAAACAAAACTTCTATGATTATATCTTGAATGGACAGTTACGGAACCGATGAAGTTAATAAAAAATGTCATGGGGTTTTATAAACTCCCTAAAAATAATTTAAATAATTTCATCCTTTTGTAATTTATCTATGAAGAATCTAGCTATAATTGAAATCTTGATTAAATTTAATACTATTTAATCAATTTTCATTTTTATTACATGTAATGTCATGTATTTTTTAATATGTTTAATGTCTCAGTGCAATTGGAGGAAAGTACATTTTAGTATTATTTCTTTTCTTGTATCGACAAAAAACAAATACATGTAAAACGGAATGAGACCTTTAATTATGTGTCAGACAACTCGAAGATGAGAGCCAGAATCAAAACAACACTTTCTGCTTTTTAAATCAAAGAGATTATGAGACATAAAATTCGAGTAGATTAATTTTATTTTCTACTTATAGATGATGGCATAGAGCTATATGAAATGCTTATTAATACTATAGATTTATTTCAATTAAATCAAACTTCTCAAATATCTCTTATACACATGGAAATAATCAGTCTGATCGGCTACCTTGCTTCGTTTTTTTGCACATAAACTTCAGTCTTATTTTAGAACAAGTACAGTCAACATTTGCTCTATATTTGATATTATATAAAATCCTATTCATTATTTTTCATTTTTCTATATCAATAATATAAATAACAATTAGTTTTAATTTTAATTTTTCTATGTTGGTAATATACATAACAGTTAGTTTTATTGCTTTTATATTCTATATCAATAGTACAAAAATCTTAATTCTCATTTCTTGTTTTTCTAAATTGGCAGTTTAGAAAATTTTATTTATTATTTTTGATTTTTTATATTGATAATATAGAAAATCTCAATTTTAATTTTTGATATCTCTATAACAATAATATAGAAAATCTTATTTTTGAATTCTTATTGATTTTAATTGATAATATAAATATCAGTTAGTTTTCATTCTTATTTTTCTATATTATCGATATAGAAAAATACAAAATAAAAACTAAGATTTTCTATGGCAACAATATACAAAAAATAGAGAATAAAACAAATTGTTATCTTTGTTATCAATGTAGAAAAATAAAAAGTAAAAAGTAAGATTTTCTATGTTATCAATATAGAAAATAAAAAATAAATAGGATTTACTATTTTACCACTACAGAAAAATGAGGAATACAAGTAACCGTTTTGTACTCTATTAATATAGAAAGGTGAAAAATAAAAATAACCGTTTTCTACACTATTAGTATAGAAAAAGAAGAAAAAAACTGACGTAAACTATTCAAGTCTTTTTCCCAGGTACTGTTCTTCATGGGAAAGCTGATGGAATCAACTATTCTCGAATAAGGGAAAGAAACAGGACAGACCATACACGATCAGATGCTAACAGGCAAGATCTACATTATGTACCGTGTATGTTTCTTTTTTTGGATCTTATATGATCTGTTAAGATCTGACAAGAAGGATCTAGTCTGTCCAAATCAGTGTCTTAATCATTGAGTCTTGTAAGATTATTTGCTGACACCGCACAATCAAAATCTGAGAACATCTTGAAAAAAAAATGAACATATAAGATATTGTTCGATATTGTAACAAGATCATAGAAAAAACCTTACAAGGGTAAGACCTTATTGGATCTTGCAGGATCTAACATCTGTTTTTTCGGGGTGGGTATGAGTGTGGCTATAGATGAATCATTTACCCACCCACCATGGTAAGAATTTGAACATATAATTTCATCAATATAAAATCGGAAAATCTAATAAAAAAATTGCTTTTTCATAAAGGTCGTAAAAAACAGATCAGCTATTAAATATGAGGTTTTTCGGAAATTCGCCAGTTATAATAAAATTGTATTCTGACTTTAAATAGCCTATTATCCAAAAATATGCAACACTATTTGAAGAAAAACAGAAATTTCGCTTTCAATTTTGCAACTTATGTCCACATGGTTTCCCACTATAGACAAGCGAAGTGAAATTGAAATATAAATACTGACATGATTGAAACAAGAAAAGAACATATCCTATTGTTCGAATGACAGGAAAATATATTTATTTACCAACGCTACTTATCTCGATAATCTTGCATTTCAAGCTTTTCAACAATAGCCGAGAAAGTGTAAATTAAATTAAAATAGACTCATATCTATTCAATAACTTCAACGAATTGTCACCTTGACGTATGTAGATTAGGTTTTGTTTTTAGATTCTTTTCTCCTAAGTTCTTAGAACTAAATAATTGATACAGTTGAGTTTATTTCAAAAAAATTATTTACGTTAATCTTGAAAAATTTCCAATATAATCGTATGGAATGATCACTCGTAAAATCTGAACAAGGCTCATAGCTTCAGATTGAAGTAACAACGAATTTAGCTTATTTAGAAAATAAACAAATGTTAATCAAAACTAAACGGGTTAAAATCAATCAATTAAAATGAAATTCTTTAAGATAATTAAAATTCAAATAAACTAATATAATTCTGTTTTTAGAAATATAACTGATTTCAATTATTATTTTATAGAAGATTAGAAAAAAAAAATCAAATTTTCTTCAGGTGATTTGACTTTTATTTTAATCATATTAAGGGAGCTCCACCCCCTCTCAGAAAATCCAATTTTTCGGAGACGAGTCGAAATTGAAGTTTTATCGTAGGAAGATGCATCGAAATCTCCTCTTTCGGAACATCTATGGTTTATCAAAAAATGAATTGATTTTGGCGAACTTATCGTCTAAAACTCGACTCCTACTGTCATAGTTTTCGAAAAATTCTCAGAGGCTTTTCCCAAGCTTTTTCAATTTTTTAGGCTGCTTTCTCTTTGCATCAGCATCTCGTAAAGTTTTTTTCTATATTAATCACTAAGAGACTATGAATACTTTATATTGAGATCACATTTTTACAGCCTGTCTTGAACGTGGATATATAAATCAGATGATTTTCGGAAAAATCGATTTCTAATACTTATTTTCCGTTTTTCTCAAAACGAATTTTTTCGAGCATACCATTTACGCGGGCAAAGATTTTTCAATAATAACGCCATAAATAAGGGATAATTTTTTTTTGTTGAATAGAAGACAGTTAGGGCTAGGTCATAATAGAGTCCGATTTTTAAATTTCTCTTTTGCTGAAATAAAAAAGTTAGATATTTCATTTTTGTAAGCAGGGTTTTTGGGTACAATTTCGTGGATTTTGCGGAAAAGAGTTTTTAAAAATCAAACAAAGGGAAATTCAAAAATCGGG